CACCCCAAAGATTTCCATCCCAGGAATATTAGTCTCTGTTAAAGCCCCCTGGGAAGGTGGCTCTTGTTCTCTCTTGCATTTTATAGGACTTTCGCCTAAGGAAGTGTAAAGTCATCCTTTCCTCAAGATACTTCAAAAGCCACGTGGCAAATCAGCAGGCCCTGCAAGCTTGCTTTGCTCTCGGAAAGGCAGCAGCTGTGTTGCTCCAAAAATCCCTCCAGAATGTCAACAGATCAGCACTATACAAACAGCCTGATTTAATATAAAATGCAATACAATATTCTTGCTTTGTCTTCGGGTTCACAATGTTGATGAGTGCAATAACTCAGAGGTGAATAATGGTACCCACCGAAGAGACAGAAACAGAAAACTCTCAAGCTATGTTTGTGAATTCATTTCCTCGTCTTAGCTGAACATGAGAAATGGCTATAATTTAGTTCCCATTAAAAGTTGCTGTTGGCTAAAACATTAAACTCTTAATTGCTTCTTAATATTCTCTGCTTATTTTATCTTTTTAAACCATTGTCTATATGGTATGGGACTGTTCAGGATAAAAGCTGCAAAGAAAAGACATCTGATATCCAATGAAAGGTCACCAGTCAGACTAAATACCCTTTTTTTAAAGCTGTGAAGCTTAGAGACAAGATGTTTGAATAGTTCAGGTGCCTTCATTTCCAGCACGTTGTCACTGCCCTGCAACGTCCTTGAACAAAAGTGCAAAAAAGCACCAAAATGCAAATTGCTACATGAAGTCTCCTGTTTCCCCTCACCACGGTAATGCTCAGGAATACCGTTACCACTTCACAACGTTTTTATCAACAGTTTACTGAAATCGAGTGTGGACGCAGAGATGCACACCGTGCCATGTGAGGGCTCGGCATGGTAGAGTGAGTTGACTTGCCACAGGACAAACCCACGTATGCCGTCACCCTCGCACCGGATGGTCTGAAGGCCAGCACACTTTGATTTTCAGCACACAGAGAAGAGGAATCAGAGCATCTATGAGCATGTCCAGGCCTTTTTTTTTTTTTTGTGTTCCCATCAGTCGGACCCTTGGTTCTTCTGTGAGTAACATACAACTCTCTAGAGATCTTTTCTGGGTGTCAGCATGTCTTCCTTTGCTATTCCTGGGTCAAGTGTCTCTACCGGATTTAGCTGGAGTGAGGTATTACCTTTACTAACACTCGTCCAACTAGACATAATGCCGAGCTTCAAGCTCTAGACCTTGTGAACAAATATCCTGAAAACCAATGCTGTAATGCCCAAATTGCCAAATCTGTTTGCAAATGCACTCAAAGAAACAAATCCAGATAAGAGAGAAGTGAAATGTCAAACAACGGGCTCCCTTTTCCTCCTGCTCAAGCAGCTGGGGATTAACAACCACATCAAGCCAAATCTGTTGCACTGCTAAGGTCTGGGCTGTCCTGTGGGCACGCGATAAAGCTGTCTGCTTATTCTTCTGGGGTGCCAAGCAATGCAATTTTTGCAGCCTCTTTATGCTGACCTATTTATATTTTATTTGCTCCCATAATAATGAAAATGTATTATTATTCTCTCCAGCTCTCTTTTCATTGCAGTTTAATTAAAACCATACGGAGACCAAGAAACTAAGTGAAACACCCCCTCCCTCCCCCCACCGAAACCACAGAACAAATCAAATCAAAATAAAACAAACAACGCCCCCCCTCCCAACAACCAGCAACCCGCCGCCCCCAAGAATTGCTGGTTGCCTTTCAGTTCCAATACCTTTTCATGACTTGGGTGGCAGCAGCGCAGGAGAGAACAAAGTGGCCTCCTGTCTCAAAGATCAATCATGTTATGGCCTCCAGCTGTCCAGCCTGTGCTGGGCAAAGGAAAGGGGGATCCCAAACTGCCCCCACATATCAAGGAGCTCATATGGAAGTACAGCTGTCATTCCCAGCTACCTCCAAGAAAAGACATAACTACATGGAAGTTCAACCCCTCAGTTAAGAAACCAGTGACAGCTTCCTTTGGTTTTGATTTTCAAACCAACCTTTTTCTTACACTGGGAAATCAGCACGGAATGACTTTCATCAATATAACTAGATGTGAGAGTTGCAAAGGGTCAGAACTATGATATTGGTTTTTTAACATTCATATACCCCCCCACTCCCCCACTAAGGCTTGACTTAGACTCCTAGGTGGTAGGAGATGCAATGCAAACAACCAGAAGACCTTGCTCTACCTCACTGGTCTGTTTATGGAACAAATCAGCTGGTCCCTGAGTGCCCCCAAATACCCCCTTGCTTTGCCCTCTGTGTGCATGGCCACCCACCACCCCTCGGCAGTTGCCCGTTCTCTGCGCGTGCTGTAATACATTTTCTCACTCAAGAACAAAGAATTGCTGCGCAGGAAGAGACCACCAAGCTTGACGTGCCCATCCCCTTGGGGGTTCCCTCCTCTCTACAAGTGCTTTCATGCTATATTCCTGTCTGAAAAAAAAAAGATCTGTCTCCAACTCGTTTTCATGCTCTTTACTTTTGATAGGCTGATTTTCCAAATTATTCCCGATGTTGCCCATTACACTTTTAAGTTAAGCACGTCTTTCCAATGACCTAGTTCATTCTTCCTCCTAACTTTTTGAATTGCGTCTCGTTGGTTGTTTTAATTTCTTGCACTTTTTTTTTTTTAATGCTCACCGATCTAAACAGTTTATTCTTCCTAAGGAAAGTGAACCAAACTGAAAAGGGCCTGCAAAATACCACATCTCCACTTCCATGCATTCAGTGCTCTGGGCAGTCAGGAATACCACTGCAGATGATGTGCTACACCTGTTTTTGATTCAACCCCAAATGCTCCTTGCCCTTTTTCCTGTGTTTACATACACACAACTTTCACTGTCCCATCTAGTTTTTCACCAGGAAACTTCATCCTTGCATTTGGCTATCCCTCGTTGTGACGGCTTTAATGCCTGGCTTTTGTAATTCTACAGGTGTTATAAACAGTTGTGCAAATTATGAAAAGTAGGTGGAGACATATGCATATATGCTACCAACTTTACCAAGTAATTCCATTATAATGCTGTTCTTTTACCCTTCCTCTATGTATTTTTGTTACCACTGAGAAAATAAAAATTGTCTCATGAATTTTTAGGCTGAAATGTGCTCAACCTCAGTTATACGGTACTTTAATTTTGGTCACCAACCATGCAGTGGTCCCCAGTAAAGTAATCACTTACCAGCAGTAGTTTCTGGGTACCTCTAACTAAGCCACTCTGTTCTATCAGCTTGAATAAGGTTTTCTACTGCTTCAGCAAATTGAGCACCAGTTTTTAATTTTTTTTTTCATAGAGTCTATTAGTGAAACTACAGAACAAAATATAAAAAATATAAAATACCTTGCAAACAGCCAAAAAAGCATTTTCCTGAGTAATCCCCATTACCATTCTGTTCATCTCAAAGGCTTTTCTGTGTAAAAAGACATCTTCATATATTGCAAAATAAATGTTACCCTCCGTTACATTGTATCTGGGAACCCCATTCATTTCAGTGGGGTTTCCTGGATGGCATTCTGAGCAATTTTTCCCACTATATATGATGAAAAAAAAGGGAGAGATTTTGGGAAACATATATGGAGAGAGGTCAGTGAAAGCAGTCACCACTGAAGTCTTTACAATTGAATCTTTTATATAAATACCACTACTGCTGGTCACAGGACTGTCATAATATTGCTAATTACTTGCAAATGTCAATGGAAACGTTTTTAATGGGGCCACTGTCACCTATTTATTAATGTTCATTTGAACTTTCCAGACTCAGCTTGGCCAATTAATTATTGCTCAAAAGGATATTTTTAAGGACAAATTGACAGTCCTCAAAATCATTTCTTTATGAAAGACAAGTAAAACACAGGCATTTCTAACAACGGTTTTGCTGCTGTGTTCCACTGAAAACAAACTGTTAACAAGTTTTGACAACTGTCCCAGGCTAATACTTTCTTTATCTTTTGGTCAACAATTGTATAGAAAGAGTTTAGAAGACTATCAACAGCAAAAAGGTCATTTGCATACAAGCCAAATGCACACGGATGTTGCAGACATGAGCAATTAGGACTGCACCCCGACGTAGCACTGCTGATCTTAGTTAGGACTTAGTGATGAGATGTGGCACTTCCCAAGCAGGTGAGCAGGTCTGCAAGTCCTGGGATGACAAGGCTTGAATAAGGCACAGCAATTATTTTCTGGCCTGGATGGTTAATTCCTGCTACTCCAGAATTTGTGATCTGGTCACTCATGTCCTTCAGTGTCCCTCAGCCCCTTCTAGAAAAGAAATGGCGAAGTCCATGCCTGGCTTTATCTCAGATGCTGTCTGTCTTACACAAAATCATAGGCAAAGTTAAATTCATTCATAAAACTTCAAGTTGATATCTTAATGGAGAGTCAATGAGACTCAGGCTTTAGGGACAGGATATATAAGGCCCTAGGAAGATGCTTCAGGGTCACGTTTATCTTAAGCCAAACGTGCACTGAGGTTACTGAGGCTAATCCCAATCATTGAACATCACCACACTTGGTGCAAACATCAGTATCTCTTTAGGAGAAGCAAACTGCAGGGTTTATTTGGAGAGCTGAAGCAACAGAAAGAGGAGTTGAACTGGCTGGCATCACCCAGAGAGGCTCAGAGCCCCAGTCCAGCAAACCCTTCTCCCACGACCCTTTATCCTGAAGGTCAGGCCCAGAGTGCATTTTCACAGCTATTTAAGATGAGCTAATTGAGGAAACACTTGTCTGCGTTACAGGTGGTTCCGGCTGGTGCAACCACTAATCTCATTTTCATGACACAAAAATCAATACTCAAGACACTTGAAAGAGTTAACCAACAGCAGGTGTTGTAGCACTGTGAGAGAGACACAGAACTGAAGTATCCATCGCTGTACCATCTCATAAAATAAAAGAGAGAGATGGGAGCATATGGAAAACCACAGCCCCCCAAAGCATACTCAATCCCAGGCAGTTCCCAATCCAGAGGACGCAGGCTCACCTCCAGTACACGAGCACAGCTATAAGGAGTATGAGGCACACAAAGGTCAAGGCCGAAACCACGATCAGTGGGATGATCCACTCCATTTTGCCGGACGGTCTGGTGGCCATACTGGAGCTGTTCTTGTCTGCTGCAACGGGAAACCAAATTAATGATGCTCTCATGGACAATTTTGAAACAAAACCAAATGGCTAGTCCTTGCTTCGGAGTAAAGAACTTCAAGTTCAAGGACCACCTCCATTTATCACACACCTGTAGGCATCTGAGTGTAAAAGCATGGATGCGTACTACATCACGCTGCTTGGACTCCGCTCCTGTACTTAGCAAGGCTCAGTGTTACTCACCCATCGTTTCAGGACCCAAACCTGTGCTATTATCAGATGTAGCAGATACCACTCAGAATCAATCTGAAAGGTCAGTGAAGAATAATGAATAGTCATAAATGTCTGCAGGTTTGCTTGGTCATAAATGTCTGCAGGTTCATTTGTTAACTCTTTGGGTTCATAGCAAATTCATGCTAACGCATACTTAATTTTACTAATATTAACACTTAAAAAAACAACAACCCTTTATTAAAACCGGATCCAGTACTATGTCAACAAACTTCCTAAGGTGCTAAGGTGCATGAATACGTATGGGTTGTTGAGATGGGTGGATGTGCCTGTTGCAACCAAATGTACAAACCTTTACTGCTCTGGTGTGCACAAAATGAACTATGGCAAGATTCTGGGAAACTACAGCAAAGATAAACCAACTTCTCCATCTGCCAGGTCTTGGCACCAAGTTACCCATGATTATATGATTATACGTACAATATGTATGATTATATGAAATAAAGCATGTTTTAACAGTGCCTAGAGGCCTCAATCAAGTATTGGGACACACGGTACCAGGACTGTATGCACATCCAGCGAAAAGATGGTCCCTTCCTCGTGAAAACTTAGATGTGAAGGGCTCTGCTGCATTGCAAAACCCCTCATCTGTGCAAGTTCACAAATTCTGGTAAGTTTTTCACCCCCTCAGTCCAGTGCGCAAGACTGGATGCAGTTCCTGTAGCTCATTCTGCAGGATCTAACAGAAGGTCTGCAGCTGTCCGCAGGAGGCAGCAGGGAATGCATTAATATAAATGGCCTCAGATCTGAACAAAGGCTGACAAATACACACTTGACTCTTACTTATTATCCCCTCGTGTGGTTTCTTCTTACCACTGCAACTCCACACCCTTGTTCAGTATTATATTATCCTATCTTCTGAAACAGCAGCAAATCTTACCAGAGGAACGTAATTGCCTTTTCACCGTAGGTAGGCAAAACATGGATAATTGGAAGTCACAAGATGTCACATAATATGAAGTCATACTCTATTTTAATAGCATTTAGATTATACTCCACCATAGGCAGGAGTAAAATCCAAATAACATGGAAGTAAAGGTTAATTGTAAATGCTTTTGCCTGGCTGCTGAAAACAGAGCAAGAGTGGAGGCTGCTGCAAGCCCAGCAAGTGATCTTTCTAGCTTGAAGAAGTAGGCTGATGGAGGCAGTGCCCTTTAGCAGGCGAGCCTAAATGAAGTGCTAATCAGACGGATGCCGGGGGGGGGGGCAGCGAACGTGCCCTGTGTGTGGAACTGATCAGCAGAGAGACGGGCAGCCAGGACCGTGTCTTAGCCCCCGTTGCTGGTGCACGAAAGGCGGCGGTGGGTGCACCTTAACGCCAGCTTGTTTCAGAGCAGACAGGCAGAGCTATGGCCCAGAGCTCCCATGCAGCATACAGAAAGGCCAGCATTTCAATTAGTTCTTGTAGCAGGTAGGCCATCTACGTGCTGCTGTTTCTTTAAGAGAAAACCTTGATTTCAGCTGAGAAGAAAAAAAAGAAAACAACCCAGAACCCAAAGAATCAATTTTCTGCACTTGCAAAACCCCCACGATTCATAAAACAAAGTAATTTGTACTTTTGCACTGAGCACTTTTATCAGGAAATCTCCAGCCACTTAAACACCAAACAGGGAAGCCCCACAGCCCACAGGGCAGGGCAAGTATTATTCATCAGAGAGGCACGAGAGGGCAAAGTAAAACCATATGGTCCAATCAAACTTACTGGGAAAGCCAAATGCTCCCAGAATGCCCCAGCACCTATTCAAATATTACTTCCTCTCCCACAAGGCAAGGGTGCCATCCAGGAGTGTCTCCCTGCACTTCAATACATGAATGCAAGCTCCCGTTTGCTTGAAAGCATGGAAATCACTCGAGGAACAGTGCATGCTGCAGTCCCAACCTCCTTGGGATGAAGTATGCTCTCAGTAATATGCATGATGCTGTGCTTACAGGGAAGGTTTTTTACTTATCTGACCTCTCCTATCTCCTATGCTGCAGATGTGCAAAGAAGAAAGCACTCTGCATGCCCATAGCTAGCATAGCCAGTCCGATTCACTGAGGCTGAAATTGCAAGCAGGGATGGCAACCGATGATGTCTCGCAAAGAAAAAGAAGCCCGGGCTTGCTTTGAAGACCAAGTCTTAGATGTCTCTCCTTGCTTAAGAAAACATTTGAAGGGAGTTGAAACAAAACCATATCAGTGGAAGTTGCTACACAATGAGTGTGGAGGCCAGAAGAATTTAGTAGTACATCTGGGCTGCCAGCAGGTATCTTTCTGGGTGCCAGGGCAGAGAAGCGTATAAAAAGGCAGTGTGCTGGGTAATGTGAAAAACATGGAAGAAAATACACATTAGCAATGAAGAGAGGGAGCTTGAGACTCCCCTGCACTCTAGCAAAAATACCAGCCTTGCAATTTTTCATTGTTAACACAGGACGCTGGAACTGCAATAGCACAAATAACGTGCCCTTGTTAGAGCTGTGCCCACTAATGCCTGACTTTGGTATTAAAAAAAAAAAAACAACCCTCATGTATGAGGAAACTCCAGTTTTGCTAAGAAATGTAAACAGTTTCCAGTGGCATATGTCATCGCTGAATTAATTCAGTTTGCCTTTTACTGGCTTGGAATTCATCCCAGTAGGAAGGAATAAAAATTATTATAGCGTAACCGCTTCAGGAAGTCCTGCACCACATGAGCCCAGGCAGCTCTAAATCCACTTCTCCATGTGGCAAAGTGTGTAGGTCTTCATAACGATCGCCTTCTCGAGAAGCACTTGCTCAGCAGCTTCGTCTCTCCCGGGACCCTGCACCGGGGATTGGAGAGAGGGCACAGGACAGCAAGGCCGGCTTTGGCAGAGGGACTTCGGGGCACGAGCCAGCGCGAGCAAGGGGCGTTCTGCATTGGGACACGTTGACGGTCTCTCTAAACGTCCGTGGTAACTGGGCCGTGAGAACATAAATATCTTTATTCTCCATAGGGAGCATCACTTCTCATAACATGCAACTGTTAATAGGAATTTATTATCCTACCTGAGCTCTGCCCCTTGCTGAAACTTTCTCTTTATCATCCTACAACACTGCGTGGGACCACCACCAGGGCCGGGACCATGTTCTGCCTGCTTGCTGTTATAGAGATGGATACCCAGGACAACAGCGAGCCCCCCGATTTCATGCCCCCTCCAATGGCACTGTCCCAGCCGTGCTGATTCATATCATGAAATCCTTTAAATGCAAGTCAGCTTCAACTATTCCTTTGAGTCAATGAGATGATAAACTGTTACAGCACCATCAATTAGTAAGGCCTGAGGGCAGTGCCAGCCATCCTGTGCAAGTATGGAAACTTGAGAGTTATATTTTTTATTGAAATATAAAAAAGTTATATTTTTTATTGAAATGAATGTCAGCGCACAGACAGTTCCTCTTTTACCTACAAACAGTTTTGCAGCTCTCATCCCTGTGGATTCTGAACTATTAAATGCATCTTTTCACTACCTAATTAACGGATGTCGATGGCATTTAACCTGAGCGCTGGATAATGCAGATTCACCAAGTTCAAATGAACAAACGAAGTCTCTTTGTGCAATCCGGGGGGTCGCCGACGAGCATTCAAGCCCCTTGACTGTAGGTGGCTCTAAGACACTGTGCAAAACAGCTCAAAATTCACAAGAAAATACAACTTAATAATCCTTGCTACCTATGGAGCAAGAGAGCATTATACACAGATGTTTAATTATCCTAACAAAGTTATCCCCAAAAGGCTTTTGCAGCTTCCTCCCTGGTTGGGCTGTTCTATAAACCAAAATTCACTGAGCACTGAATTCGTGACCTGGGACTAAGCATGATTTAGGATGCAGAGCATCGTCTCCTGATAAAGGTCTCCTGCCAGAGGAGGTCAGAACACCCCGTGGAAGCTGGGGAGGAACGGGGAGGAGCTGAGTAATGTTCATATCAAGTGGAGTCCCACTGGGCCAATACCCAGATCTCCGCTGTTTTCAATCTATGATCATGACTCAGACAGAAGCACCAACTGGAAAAAATGTTAATTTGTTCATGACAGGGAGCAGGACGTGCACTCGCTACACAGGATCAAACAGAAAGGATTCATTTAAGCTTCCAACATGACAATCAAAATTCTCTTGATTAATATCTGCTAAAGCTGGATCGTGATTGGGTTGTTTTTTTTTGGTGGAATAATATTGCTGTAATGGCCTCTCCTAATTTTCAGTTTTAAAAGAATACAGAGTAATGCAGAGCACCTGTCTATTGAACACCCGCAGACCAAAGGTACGATTAGTCGAATGCAAACAACAAACTAGAGATGGCTGAACAAGCAAGTGGAATAGGAGCGTGTGAGCAAGCACTGAGGAGCAGAAAGAGTCATTACCGTTGGCTGATACTACCAGACCAGAGGAGGCCAATGCCATTTGGAAAATAATGACGTGGCCTCAGGAGAGGTGTGTATACGCGAGTGTGAAATAAGTGCTAAAAGAAAATGAGCCTTGCTGTACTAATTGGCCTCTCACTTTCCCAGTAATTTCTCACGTGTTCCCTGTTCTCCTCTCATCACCCACACTCGCATGTCTTTCCCCTTTCATCCATTGCCTTATACGCTGCTAATTTGATTCTCTATAATTAATTTTACAAGTGTACACTGTTAGGAAACAGTTTTCTGCTCTTTAAAACAATGACATTTTCCACTCCAAAATATTTAAAGAAAAAAAAGAAACACTGACCACGATTCTGTTTTTTCTTTGCCGTTTTCCCATACAAATTAGTTATCCAAAAAAACCCCCTGCTCTGCCCTCCCCGTGTGTTCCTGAGGACACCCTGAAGAGCGGGATGCTTCCCGTCCCTGGAAATTTGGCCGTGATATAAAGCAGTGATTCTCGAGCAGGGAGATCCTTTTAAGGGTGTTGCAGAGTGCCACACAATTTTAGCACTGTATTTAAGCACAGATATTTAAGATGCTTTTCACAGTATCTAACTCCAGAGCAGCCTAGATGGAAAAAGAAAATTACCAAACATACAACAGCTTGGCAAAAGTGCAGAATTAGAAGTGGAAGCAGCAAAAAGCCTGCCAGCTCGCAGATGCAATGATAATGCCAAGCGATGCACAGTAATCGTTACAGAAATTAACTTTACATTGTGTTAAAATTGCAGTGGGAGACCAGCCTCCTGATCCCAGGGTCAGATCCAGGAGAACGTGCCCCTGCTAACTTCCATGCTCTCTATGCAGTGCAAGGGACCACGCGCGTGGAGCTGTTTGCCAGAACCAGGGCTCGTGGATATGTGTGATGAGAAGGAGTCAGCCAGACAGGCTCCGGCTTCACCAAGGAGAGCACTGCACATCAATCAGGCTAACTTGAAAACACACCTAGCGAGTTCTCCAGGGAAAAATAAATATACGCCAGATACAGCAGCCATTCTTCAAAGTTAACGTCACAGCTGGAGTGTGGGGTATTAATTTTTAAATCCAAAATTCCTGAAGCAGCCAAATGCATTACGGGCTAATTTCTTGCCAGACTTCATTTTCTTATTTGGGGCATGGATTTTTAATTGGAGACTGGGTAACTTCCTAATTAATCCAACCCCAGTGGTGTTTCCCCACCCTCTATCCCCACAACCATTTTAAGACCATTTGTAGGCTGAGCCCAGAACTGACTTTTGCAGCATGAGACCCAACCGTTGCTAACCGAACTGCGGGGGGTTCAAAGCCGTGAGAAAATGGGTCCTACTGTTTTATTATGTACCAGAACCTGGGACGGCCGGATGGCGCAGCTCCCCACCCTGGCTCACTCACCTGGGTTTATGGTGATGAACTTGTTATCCGACGCATTTTCCTCTGGAAACCTGTCGTCTTTAGGAAAAGGTTTCCGCGATGCTGTCTCTGGTCTCCCGGGGATTTGCCCTAGGTAATGTTCGTTTGTGAATGCTGGTGGCACTTGGGTGGAGGGGAGGGGTTGGGACTGGGTGTCTGTTTCGGTCGTGCTCCCTTCTTCGGGGCTCCTATCTGTTGGGAAAACGTTTTGGTTTTGCTCTTGACCAGGTATGGTTTTATTTCCTTCCTTTTCCGCAGTTCTATTGGGGGAAACAGTGGCGGGTGCGGA